GAATAGAATAGAATAGAATAGAATAGAATAGAATAGAATAGAATAGAATAGAATAGAATAGGATGGACTAGAATAGAATAAAATGGGATGGACTAGAATAGAATAAAATGGGATGGACTAGAATAGAATAGAATAGAATAGAATAGAATATAATAGAATAGAATGTGATGAGATGGAATAGAATAGAATAGAATGTGATGAGATGGAATAGAATAGAATATAGAATAGAATAGAAAAGAATATAGAATAGAATAGAATGTGATGAGATGGAATAGAATAGAATATAGAATAGAATAGAAACGAATATAGAATAGAATAGAATAGAATAGAATAGAATGTGATGAGATGGAATAGAATAGAATAGATTAGAATAGAATAAAATAAAATAAAATAAAATGGGATGAGATGAGATGGAATAGAATAGAATAGAATAGAATAGAATAGAATAGAATAGAATAGAATAGAATAGAATAGAATAGAATAGAATTAGAATAAAATATAATATAGAATAGAATAGAACAGAATAGAATAGAATAGAATGGGATGGACTAGAATAGAATAGAATAGAATAGAATAGAATAGATAGAATAGAATAGAATAGAATAGAATATAGATAGAATAGAATAGAATAGAATATAGCATAGAATAGAATAGAATAGAATAGAATAGAATAGAATAGAATAGAATAGAATAGAATAGAATAGAATAGAATAGAATAAAATAAAATGTGATGAGATGGAATAGAATAGAATAGAATAGAATAGAATAGAATAGAATAGAATAGAATAGAATAAATAGAATAAAAGAAAATGGGATGAGATGGAATAGAATAGAATAGAATAGAATAGAATAGAATAGAATAGAATAGAATAGAATAGATTAGATTCAGGATTTGAGCCCTAACTCACTAGTTACAAGTTCATTTCTACAAAGCTTAGAAGCACAGGCCCTTGGTTATCAACCCTTGTATGTACATTAAGTAACACAGGAAGTGATAAATAAATGTGATTTGGGTGAAAATAAAGCAAAGCTGTGATTGTAAAATGAATAAATGCCTTACGTTTATAAGCTGTATTTAAACATTGTCCATGCAGGGTAACCATAGCAACAGGGATGACAGGGAAAAACAATGGGTAAATGATAAAATTATTCAAGGATAAGTACTATTTCATGACAACGTTCTGTTTCTATAGAAATGCTTTCTAATTTTGTAATTTAAATTTATTGAACAATTTTGTCTTTAATTATTTTATTGATTTTTGTTTTTAATTTCAAAGCCAGGCATTTTGATCATACAGTAATTTTGTCAAATGTTTAGTGAAAGAAATGTGAAATTCCAATATACAGTGAATTCAATGGACTTTTAAAGTTTAAAATTTGATAACTAGAATTCACATGAACATATAAAATCATGATAAAAAAAATTGTTTTGCTGAAAAATATACTCAAAATATCCAAATAGTGAATGTCAGTGAAAATAAATGCTTTCAGAATACAGTAAATTATTATTTTTTTTGATGTAGCTATTTTCCGAGACAAACAAATTTATGAATTTAAAATTAGTTTCCCGGCATAATAATTTTTATCTAAAAATGAACTTCTGCAGAATAGTTTAAATCTGTTAGAGCACCCTCTAGTGACAGAAATGGGAAATTTCAGTTTCAATTTGAAACAGAACGTTGTCATGACACCACATTACACCAGGTAATAAATTAAAATAAATTTTTAATAAAAATAAAAATTTTAAAAATAAAATAAATGCATTTACCACATTACATATAGCTTGCAATGACCTTTGAACTCTGATTGACACAAAACCAGTATTATACAACAATGTTAGTTTTAGTTGGGGCCACTACATACATAATAAACAAATGGGGGGGGGTTAGTTTTCAGAAAATACTCGACATCAAGACCAAACCAGCTAAAAAACGGCCAAGACAACTAAAACTGAACTTGAAATATCAAACTTTTTGCAGGGCTTGATAAAATTGGTATCCTCGGGGGCAGACATCCGGGCATTTTCACCGCTTGGCAACCCTGGCGGTGAAAACAAAGGCCAAAAACTCGCAAAAAACGGTACTTTGGGATGGTTGTTGAGACTCCCCTGAACAGTGTAACAAGATAAGCCCTACGTGTGTAACATATATGAATTTGATTGTTCAGGATTACTTCAAAGTTGAGTTTGTGTTGTTTTCTCAAATTTTCACCGGCTAGACCGCCGTTCCACAGCAGCGCGAAAAGAGCCTATAGAAATACATGTACAGTGGTGCGCGTCTTAGCAACGTGGAACGTCTTGTGACGTAGCTCCGCCCCCGAGGATACACCTTTCCTATAAATATCGCCCTCTAGAGAGAAAATGCTTCAATTACGTACCTTGATGACATAAAGGTCGTTCAAATTGTCTATATTGTTTTAGTCTGTATATAGTTGTCCATCAACGAAGACTATGTTTTATATATTTTTCTAAGGGCACCAAAGTAAACTCCCTAGG